AAAATCTCAACTATTGAAATATTATCAAAATGCTCTACTATCTCATAAATATTACGGACTACAAGTCATTTATGGGTTATTATAAGTTGTTGAAGTATTTTAAGAGTTTTTCAATAGTTGGGATTATCTTGAAAAACCTTATATATTGAATTATTTGAAAATAAATAACTAATACGTAGTATTTGGGATTTTTCCTGTCCATTTTCCAACACTTTTCATATAATTTTAAAGAACACTTTTTAAAAGAAGATTCTTTTGCAAATACTTCTTGAACAATACCAAAAAAACTAAACTGGACCAGAGCGGGCGGTTCGACTTGGAGCCGGTCAACCGGACCTTGAAACTAGAACTATCGGTGGCCCGTCCAAACCTGTAAACCTTGAAACCCGGAAATTTAACTAAAACTAAAAACAAACTAATTATTATTTGAAATAATTACATAAATATGACCAAAATAAAGATGATTTACAAAAATATGATTAGTGACTAGAGTATTAATGAAATCATACTAATTCATGTTCAAGTTTTGAGGTTAAGTTACCACAACACTACATTGTAGTAATGAATAGTTATATTTATGTTAATATGTTTTATTTTAGTAATATTCTTGTAAAAAACCCGGCCCTTATTATTTTCCCAAAAATTCGGCAGGCAATTCAAGGGGATTCAATTCAAACACCGGTCATCTATTTGCAAACTAAAACGAAAACCAACTGTGCTATTCCTTGAATATGTTTTTTATCATCAAAACAAATTCCTTGAATATGTTGCCAATGCTCTTTAATAGAATACATTACTCCTGTATCAGTTTTAGAATACAATGCTATTATTAATTCCTTCGTATTTACTGGTAATCATCATAATAACTATTTTATGGGTGTTATTATAGTATACAAAAAAATTAGAAAAGATTCATAACATATATATAGCCAATATAAGAATCTTATTTATAATTATTTATATAAATATTATGATCATATATTGTCCAACTAATTCTAATTACATTTTTAACTTTGTAAAAAAGTTTTACATTTTGGCACATTTTTTTTATTTACTCTTATAAATATTATTAAATTTTGAATAAATTAAATAAGTATTGACTATATAACTTTAATGTAATATATAATTAAATATATTTTACATTTTACTTTTCACTAAACATTGATTGTTTTTTTTTGCGTTGATCGGGTTGAACCACGCGGGTTAGAGTTTTGTTCCTCTTCAAAAAGTGAGGTTTTCTCAACTTCTTTTTCAACAAAAATAGGTGATGTTTGTGGTTCAAAAACATTTAGAGAACAAAGGGATTGTTTTTTTATTTGTTTTGTTGTAGAATCAAAGATGTTGAATTCTACTTTTTGGTCATCAAACTCTAAAGTTAATGAACCATTAGACACATCTATTTTTGTTTGGGCCGTTTTTAAGAAAGGTCTTCCCAAAAGGATGGGTGTAGCTTGGTTATCGGCTTCCATTTCAAGAATATAGAAGTCGACGGGGAAGACCAAATTTTCAACTTTTATTAGCACGTCCTCTACGATGCCCTTTGGGTATATGCTAGACCTATCCGCCAATTGGATTATTACCCCGGTTTCATGCATAGGACCAAGTTTTAGGGACTTGTATAATGAATATGGAATAACATTGATTGAAGCCCCTAAATCTAACAAGGCCCTAGGAAATAAAGTGTCCCCTATTTCGCATGGGATAGTGAACATGTCTGGATCATTTCATTTTTCCGGGAGTTTCCTCTGAAAAATTGCTGAGACCCGTTCACTAACCTTGACCTCTTGTTTTCCTTTCAATTTATTCTTTCTTTTTATCGTGCATATTTCTTTTAAAAACTTTGCATAACGGGGAACACTTTTGATCAGTTTAAAGAGTGGGATATTTACCTCACAATTGGCGAAGGTCTCGTAGATGTCCCGATCGTTCTCCACCTTCCTTGTGTCCTTAAGCGCCTCAGGGAATGGAGGGAGTTGCTCATAAGATGACAGTGGAGGGAATTTAGTTTTAGCTGGTTCCTCTTCATCCGGTTGAAAAGCTTCTCCAAGATCAACTTCCTTTTCTTCAGTATCCACCTCTTTCAATGTTGTCCCGCTCCTCAACATGATTGCATTACATTGTTGTCTAGGGTTTTGCTCTGTTTGAGATGGGAGTTTACCCGAGTCTTTTGCCTCAAGTCGGCTTACAGCATTCGAAATTTGGCTAACTTGAGTTTCCAAATTTTGAATGCTCGACTTTGTTTCTTGTTGAAATTGTAAAACATTTTGTTGCAATGTGCCCATGTTCGTAGCAAGAGCTCGAATCATGTCCTCCGTGGACATGTTAGAGTTGGAGCTTTGAGTTTGATGATTTGGGAAGGGTTGTTGAAAAGACTGATTTTGATGTGGTTGAGGGTTCCCATATCTCAAGTTAGGGTGATCTCTCCACCCGGGGTTGTAAGTGTTAGAGTGTGGATCGTACCTCTTTTGTTGTTGGGTTTGGAAACCCAAGGCGTTGACTTGCTCTTCTTGGAGAGTTGGGCAAGAATCTGTTGGATGCCCTTGCTGTGTGCATATGCCGCAGACCTTGACCTCTTGGTTTCTAGGATTTAAAATGAAGTCCTTAACCAAAGAAGTCAAGTCGGCCATTCGACTTTCTAAAGATGAAGATGATTCCACCGCGGCAACTTTACGGGATGAGGACCGCCCGTTGTAGTGCCTAGAGTTCTCGGCCAACTCCGAAATCAAGCTAATTGCTTGTGAGGGGGTTTTGTTGACAATGCCGCCCCCACAAGCGGCATTCACCATTCTTCGATCATCATCAACAAGACCATCATAAAAGTAGAGTATGAGGTCTTGCTCGGTGTAGCCATGATAAGGGCAACTAGCACATAACTTTTTGAACCGTTCCCAATATTCATATAAGGTCTCATCATCTTTTTGATCGATGTTGCTTATTTGTTTTTTCAAAGATGATGAGACGGAGGCGGGATAGTACCTTTCCAAGAAGCATTTCTTCATAGCCGCCCATGTACCTATACTTCCCGAAGGAAGATAGAAAAGCCAATCCTTAGCGGTGTCTTTGAGGGAGAATGGAAAAGCCCTCAGTTTGATTTGTTCCTCGGTAACTCCATTTGGGCACATGCTTGTGCAAACAATATGGAATTCCGAGAGATGTTTGTTTGGATCCTCTCCTCTTAGCCCGTGGAAGGAAGGAAGTAGATGAATAAGCCCCGATTTGAGCTCAAAAGTATTACCCTCATTGAGTGTAGGGAAGGTAATACATAACGGTTGTTGATTGAGGTTTGGAGCAGTGAGCTCCCTTAAGGTCCTTGTCTCGTGAGCCATGATGATTGGCTCCTCGGTGTCGCTAGATAGAGGGCTAGCACTTGATGATTCTCCCGAGTCGGTACTTGAGAATTTATTTTTCAATCGCTCGAGAGTTTGCTCTATTTCTGGGTTTGATTGGTAGGTGATCTCGTTTAGAGAACGATATTTAACCATACACTATAAAGCTCAGAAGAAATAGAAATCTTTATATGATATATATATATATATATATTTTTTTTTTTTGATTGAAATAAAAAGAAAAATCAATTGCCTTTCCCCGGCAACGGCGCCAAATTTGACGTGCACTTTGTCGTGAGGTGCACTCAAAATAATATTCAATACTAACACTTATACGTAGTATAGGTGAAGTAGAGTTCGTATCCGCAGGGAAAGGAATAACTCTTCTTTTTATGTAACTAGTAAATAAAGGGGGTTTTGATTGTTGAGTGATTTAATTAAATTAAACACGAAGATGAACGAGTTATATGGGATTTAATTCAAAGATAAAAGTGACTTGGCATTGCTACTTTCCACTTGTTGATATATTTTAGTCGATCATTGTTATATCTATAACTTATCTCCTCTCGAATACTCAATCGAGGAGTATATCCAATTCATCGAGGAAAGTTATTAACAACGACCGTTCATTAATAACCCTTACTATTAGTCAAGTATAGAACAACGCCATATACCGACTTGATAGTAGCATTTAATCTCTTAACTCCTTGATGAAATCAATTGAGATTGATAACCTCAACACAACGGTTTTGGTTTAACCAACAAAATTAATCCCTCTTAAGTTTACTAACCACGACCGTGCATTAATAAACCGAAGTTACTTACTTGTGAAACCATCATCGATTAACCATCGGTTCGTTGATCGTTTCTAGTAATAATTAATATTTGAAACAAAACTAGTTGATCCTTTAAGTAATGTTCAAGAATATTAATATGAAATATGAACAGGAATTAATTAATACTCAAGGAAGAATATTAAGGAAAATGAATCCTACTATAGTTAATATCAAGATGTTAACTAATTGTCATCTTAGTAACACTCCCCAATATTAACATAGAGGAAGGAATAGCTATTACTAAGACCAATGTCAAGATGTTAACTAATTGTCATCTTAGCAACACTCCCCAACATTGATATAGAAATAGTATTTAAGAGAAGTATTAATATTCAAGGAAAGAAGTTAAGAAAATAACTCACAACTTTAATAATCAACAAGCTTCAAGAGCAACACCAAGAAATGGAAGTTTAGCTCCTCATTTGGAGACTAAACATGCTAAAAGAGATATAAAGAAATGCTATTCTAAACTGAGCTTAGGAGTATAAAGGAATTGGTTTTTTATTGTGAAGGAAAGGAGGTGTATTTATAGGCTTTTTGAGGTGCAGGCCGAGTACTCGATCGAGTATGTACATATACTCGATCGAGTATGTGTAGAAACCCGAATTTGGTCAATACTCGATCAATACTCGAGTAGATTTTATATGTATACCCGATCGAGTATGTCGGTGTACTCGATCGGGTATGACAATAGAACGTGGCCAAATCTTTCCTTGCATGTTCATTTGTTCCCGGATCGGATCCTTGAAAATCAGTATTGGTACTCGATCGAGTATAAGGTATACTCGATCGAGTATACCCTAAAATCAGGAATTTTTCCTTCTTTTTGTCTTCTACTCTTGCACCTTCCTTCACCTTTGATCATTTGATTGATCTTGGACCTGTTTAAGCTCAGAATAAACCTAATCTAAACAAATTACAAGAATTTAACAAACTAAACTATTACACCGAAAGTGTGTAATTTCCGAAATATTAAACAACCAAAACTAACTAAAAACGTAAATAAACACACGGAAATTACAAACGTATCAACTCCCCCACACTTAGTTCTTTACTCGTCCTCGAGTAAAGTCAAATGTTCAAAAGAGTTTAAGACCATTCCATGAGTTCAAGAAAGAAAGGAACTAAGATCACCAAGAAATAAGAAAATGATAAACAACATTTTTTCTTGGGTTTTATGATCTTCTATGCTCCATCTTTTTGCCTCTTCTTCTCTTTTTCTCCTTTTCTCTTCTTCTCCTCTTTCTCTTCTTCTCCTCTTTCTCCCAAAAGATAAAATGAGTTCCTGCACACAACAAATATTTCTCTCATATCTCTCATTTTGCCTAGGAGCCTTTTCAGGTTTTCATCCTAGCATCTCTTTTTGTTTTTCCATCCTTTCCAAACTCACTCAAATTTTTTATAAGCCTTTTTTGCTTAGATTGCCCATTCTTGGGTTTTCAACCTAACTAGCATTTCAATTCTTTTATTTATCCATTTTTTTTTGTTTTGTTTACAAAGAGTAAAAGAAATTCATGCATAGTAAAAGGTAGAAAATGAAATTACATACCATGAGTAATCTCCTCCCCCACACTTAGTTGAAGCACTGTCCCTAGTGACTGCCTTCTCCGCCGTAGTAACTGCCTCCCAAGCCGCCTCCATAGCTCCCATCGCCCATGAGAGTATCGCCACCGTCATCCCCGCCATCAAAACCTCCACCCCCGGAGCTAGATCCTCCAAAATTACCCCATGGAGTGGGGTCATACCAAGAGGGGGGTGGGGGTGTAACACCCCCAAATTTCCCACCCAAAAATACATTTAAATAATGATTTATCAAATTATGCAGCGGAAAATTCAAAGGGAAACTGGGGCGTTACCGCCACACTCGGCTCTCACATAGCCGGGTGCACAGGCTATCCACCACCAACAAATTAAAATTTTCCATATTTAATTGTTCAACTACAATTCTTTAAAATTAAGACTAAAATAAATTACTCAATCACTTTAGTCTATGTGTTCTAGCGGAAGCTCTCGAAATCAACTTCAATATGATCCTCAATTCCTGCACAAATAAAGTACAGAAAGAAAAACACAAAGAAACAAAAATTAGCTGGAAATGCTAAGTAAGACCCACCCAACCCTGTAAAATAATCATGTTTGATACATATATATCATTTTGTGAAAACATTTGGGAGGAAACCTTATGAAACACTTTATACAAACTTCTCATCACAAAATCACATGTAAAATAATAATATTCCAAATATAGGTACATATTTCCAAATCATAATAATTTTAAAAGGTCAATATACATAAACCACCAAAATCCTCGTAATTATATTCCAAAACATAAATCATATGTAAAGCCCAAATATTCATCTCAAAATACTTCCAAATACTCATAATCAATATTCAACATAACCATATCAAATCAAGTTGATAAGTATTACTTTGAAAATCTACAAATAATTTAATAATCTCAACCACATCATATTCAATTCAATCCAAACAAATATAACCCACTCAAATAATCCAATATAATGTAGTTCAATTCATCTCCATCAAGTCCAACCAAATAATCCAAATCATCTCAAGTCCAATCATTCAAACTCAATCAAATCCAATGGAAGCCGAACTCCTACCTTAAGTGTGCACACCCCCTAAAAGAGATTCCAAGCTCTCCGGGTAGTAAAAAGTCCGAGCAGTCGGGATTTTTCTACCGACTACTACAATTAAGCTGGGATGCTCCACTTTTGGGAGATCCCTGGTGGAATTAGACTTATAGTCATTACCACTCGCCAAATCCACATTTCTCCGGTTACTCACAAAATCATAATTCAACCTCAAAGTTCAAGTATCATAACCTCAATCAAAATGGATATGAAATCCGAATTCCACAAAATAATCCACAATAAAATTATTAACTCCAACTCATCATACTCAAATATACCATAAATAGTCCAAAATATAGGGTACTTCATAAATAGCTCAAATCTCAAATCTCAATCAAATAACAATTCATATGTAAATTCAAATGCTCAAAATATCACCCAATATAAAATACTCAAATCTCAAATATATATAATTCACAATCACAATTGATACGTAAAATCTCATTAACTATCATATACTCAAATGATCTCAAATAACTAGTCACAAATATATTTATATGGGAAAAGCATGAAATTTGGTTGACATAGTACTTACCTCGAATCGGGATAATCCTAATTGAAGCTCCTAGCTTGATCTTCTCCAAATTCACTTTCTAGAATATTAAAATTCTAGAATTAGTGTTACATTCTATTTTTTCAATTTTATCCTATTTCCCACTTTGTTAAACAATTGAGTAACATTATTATAACTAAATTGGCTTAATGCTCATGATCCTTACTGTTATAACTAAATCGTATTATTTTGATATATTCGGCCAGCCAGAATTATCACTAATTCAGTCCATCGGCCCAGACTAGAATAATAACAGCCCATATTATTATTATTATTATTATTTTCTTTTTAATGATATTAGTTAATTAATTATAAGGCGCAATGTTTAATGTAAGCCTAGCCTATAAAATATGTTTGTGTAAAACCAAAGAGCGACGGAAGAAAAATGAAGAAAACATACACTTCCTTGATCAGCACCGGCGAGGTAGGGCCATGCGACAGTTGCAGCGACGAGGTCTTCTTCTGACGACAGGAAACAGAGAAGATGACGGTGGCCGGTGGTGACAGCAGTTTGGGCTTCTTCTTCGTTAACCGGCGTGAACCAGTCCGGTGAGTCCTCCCACTTCCCCGGCTTTCATTGGCGTCCAGCTGCAGCTTCCCAGGCTCCCTTAGACCTTCGTTCCTACGGGGGTTTAGCGCCGCAGCATCGACCCGCAGTTCCGTAGTAACTCCGGCGGCGAGGATCGATAAGGCGCTCTCGCGATGTTGGGTACCAGTTCTTTCAACGGTGATCCCCTTACTGTCACCGACGACTCAGATAGAAAAGTGCGGGTGTGGGAAGTCCTCTAGTTCTCTGGTTATATGGTTTCGTGCAGGGAAGTTTATATATACACATATATGTAAATACTACGTATGTAGTTGTATATATCTGCTACGTATATGAATACACAAGTCGCTGGTTTACTCATGGTGCAGAACAGGAACACGTAGCTGGTTTGCTTCATCATTTTCATATTTTGGCCTCTTCCAATTACTGATCTATATAGCATGTGCGATTGTTGGTTATTTATTTTGACGAGGCGTGTGAACATGTATAGTCCACAAGGTTCATTGTATTATGCTACCCACCCATATTATTACTGCCGACTACTTGTCTTAAACTACGTAGTAAGTACATGTGTATATTATTATTTTTATTTTTATGGGTGTATGCTACTTCAATTCGTATGACTTGTATCATGTGTGCTACTTTTAAATTTGTTATTCTTGTATTATATTTTAGTGTATTTTTTGTGAACATATTAGTGACTGATTCAAATTGTTAAAATGTCACTTTTATTATTGAAACAATTTTATCTGATTAAAAATGTCACTGATGTTAATATTTTATCTGATTCACTTAACTATTAAAATGTCACTTTTGTAACATTTTATCTGACTGATATAATATATATATATATATATATATAGAGGAATGATCCTGTCCAGCCGGAGGGACAGGATCTTCCGTCCGGCCGCCGCCGTTTGGGGCGGTTCCCGGTGGAGTTTTTTTATGAAATTTTTATGGAATGTTCCTCATCAAGTCTAGTTTATCCACAAAAAATTTCAGCTAAAAATTCGATCGGGAAGACAGTCAAATAATTTCTTGAAGATAACTGCTCCAACTTAAACATATAAAACACAGTTATGTTTCAAAAAATTATTTGACTGCCTTCCCGATCGAATTTTTAGCTGAAATTTTTTGTGGATAAACTAGACTTGATGAGGAACATTCCATAAAAATTTCATCAAAAAACTCCACCGGGAACCGCCCCAAACGGCGGCGGCCGGACGGAGGATCCTGTCCATCCGGCTGGACAGGATCTTTTCCGTATATATATATATATATATTAAATTTTCGGGGTGTCACAGGGGGTGGCTGAGCCATGGTGTGGAATTGGCCTTGATGAGCCATGTAGGAATACATAGGTCCATAGAACCTACGTTGATCTTCTTCATACCTTCGATTATCTTCGGCCCGTTGCTCCTCTAGCCTTTGAAATCCCGCCCTTTGTTCCTCCCGATACTTACCAACTTCATTGGTGACTCTATTAAATCCGTCAAGCAGTTGTTGGAAGTAATCGGGAGGTGGGGAAGCTTGGTTTGGTTCGGGCATGTGGTGATGTGCAACCTCGGGTTCTTGGTACTCGGGTTGAGGCTCTGGGTCGGGTTGGTCTTCGGGGGGGATCTTGGGCTTGTGGTTCTTGGAGATGTGGTGGAAGGGCGTGTGGGAATAGGAAATGGGGCACCTCGAACTCCGGCCTGTAGATGATTTTGGGAGTGTCGGGGTTTATGGGTATAGATATGGAGAGGAGATTGAGGGGAGTATTTTGGTGGTGAAATGGGATGATTTGGTGGAGAAATGAGGGAGTTTTGGTAGAGAGAAGGTGGAAAAATGGAGTTTTGGGGGAGAGGGGTTCGAAGTTGGGAGTGTTTTGGAGAAGATGAAGTGAAAATGGGTGTTGTTTGGGTATTAATCGCAGGGGTACCCGATCGAGTATCCTTGTATACCCGATCGGGTACCGAAGACAGAGGTTGGGAAAACTGGCTTTTCTGAGCATACTCGACCGAGTATCAACATATACTCGATCGAGTATTGGAGGCAGGGGTTAAATTAAATTGTTTTTCCCGTTATACTCGACCGAGTATCAACCTGTACTCGATCGAGTACAGGAGACAGATTCTTTTCTTCTTCTTATTTCAGTTCATACTCGACCGGGTAAAGAGATATACCCGATCGAGTATGCCTCCATTTTTAGAAATATATGGCTACTTCGATCGAGTAGTGCCTCGGTTCCTCTTTTTAGACAATACCCGACCGAGTATGAGATGGTACTCGATCGAGTATGTCCCCAGACACTTCAAAACCTGCATTTTCTTCTTCTTCAAAACAAACATGTGATTAGTTCCCTCTCTCTCTTTTCTCTCAAATTTACACAAAAAGGAAATAAAATCTAACTAATTGACTTGGGTTGCCTCCCAAGAAGCGCCTTATTTAACGTCGTGGCACGACGTTTTATTTATTTAAATTTTTATTTTATGTGGGATCGTGAGCATCCCTTCCGTCATTTCTTTTCTTTGGCCTTTTCCAGTAAGGCCGACACTTTTTCTTTGTTATCTCCTCTACCCTATGCTCAATGTTTTGTTCCTCTTCAAAAAGTGAGGTTTTCTCAACTTCTTTTTCAACAAAAATAGGTGATGTTTGTGGTTCAAAAACATTTAGAGAACAAAGGGATTGTTTTTTTATTTGTTTTGTTGTAGAATCAAAGATGTTGAATTCTACTTTTTGGTCATCAAACTCTAAAGTTAATGAACCATTAGACACATCTATTTTTGTTTGGGCCGTTTTTAAGAAAGGTCTTCCCAAAAGGATGGGTGTAGCTTGGTTATCGGCTTCCATTTCAAGAATATAGAAGTCGACGGGGAAGACCAAATTTTCAACTTTTATTAGCACGTCCTCTACGATGCCCTTTGGGTATATGCTAGACCTATCCGCCAATTGGATTATTACCCCGGTTTCATGCATAGGACCAAGTTTTAGGGACTTGTATAATGAATATGGAATAACATTGATTGAAGCCCCTAAATCTAACAAGGCCCTAGGAAATAAAGTGTCCCCTATTTCGCATGGGATAGTGAACATGTCTGGATCGTTTCATTTTTCCGGGAGTTTCCTCTGAAAAATTGCTGAGACCCGTTCACTAACCTTGACCTCTTGTTTCCCTTTCAATTTATTCTTTCTTTTTATCGTGCATATTTCTTTTAAAAACTTTGCATAACGGGGAACACTTTTGATCAGTTTAAAGAGTGGGATATTTACCTCACAATTGGCGAAGGTCTCGTAGATGTCCCGATCGTTCTCCACCTTCCTTGTGTCCTTAAGCGCCTCAGGGAATGGAGGGAGTTGCTCATAAGATGA